AGCTTCCACCAGGTGGACTTCACCTTCGACCGGCGCGTGCTGGCCGCCGCCCTGCTCGAGTGCCGGGACCTGCTGCACCAGGCGGCCGGCCCGCACCTGACCGCCAAGTCCCACGGCCGCATCAACCACGTGTTCGGCCACTTTGCCGACTGCGACTTCCTGGCCGCGCTCTACGGCCCCACCGAGCCCTACCGCTCCCACCTGCACAGGATCTGCGAGGGCCTCAGCAGGATGCTGGATGAGGACAGCATTTGACCTCCGCCCTCTGGCTGCTGCGGGCTTCCCGCTGGGGGCGGGGCTTGCGGGGTTTTTTTAACCTCTTTTCTTCCAGTCTGACTCTGGCCAAACACCCTGTCCCCACCCCCCCACACAGAGGTGACACGTCCCCTCCTCGGAGGACTCTGCAGCTCTAAGGACCCCAACGCCTCTCCTCTGGCCCAGTCTCCTGGGGAGCGCTCAGCGCCGAGCCCGGCACAGCCCGCTGTGTGCGCTGCCTTCCCCTGCGCCGAGACCGCTGCCTGCCTGGTTGCCTGTCCGAGCAACAGCCCTGAGTGACTGGCCTGTAACCCTCAAATCACCTGGTGTCTCTGAAAGCTGGTGGCTTCCCGCTTAATAATGCTGCCTGGGCCTTTTCATTCCTCCAGAGAGGGTCATGGTGGAGCGGGACAAAGGGAGTGTTGTGGAGTGGGCTGTCCCCCAACCCCTCCGAATTCCTAACCCTCAGGACCTCTGAATATGACCTGATTTGGAAGTAAGGTGATTGTAGATTTAATTAGTTAAGATGAGTTCATACTGGAGCAGCGTGGGCCGCTGACCCTTATGACTGGTGTCCTTATAAGAAGGGGGCAAGTAGACACAGACACAGAGGAGAATGCTATGTGAAGATGGAGGCAGAAACTGGAGGGATGTGTCTACAAGAAAAAGAACACCACGGATTGCCAGCAACCCCTAGAAGCTGGGAGAGAGCCTGGAACATACCTCAGAGGGAACCAGCCCGGCCGACACCTTGGTCTCAGACTTCTGGCCTCCAGAGCTGAGAGTGAACAAGCTTCCGTTGTTCCAGCCTCCCAGGCTGGGGGAGCCGTTCTGCAGCCCAGGAAAGGAACTCAGGGAGCCGTGGCAAGGGCTGTGGTGGGTGCAGGCACGGCAGCACGGACGCCGCCTCCATTTATTTGGCTGGAGACGCAGCCTTGCCTCCCACGTGGGAGGGGACGGAGCACCCACCCACGCAGGGCACAAGGGGAAAGCCATCTGAGATGCGTGCACGTTTTGAAACAACCATTTCACATTTGGAAAATACACACACACATAACGGTTTCTGTAAGACAGACCTCAGAAAACACAGCTCAACAAATCTTGGCTTCAGCGACACCCAGCAGATACGGCGATTCTTAACCTGGGGCGTGGATGGACACGTGGGGGTGTGGGAGCGCATTTGCCGTTTGTTTGTCAGAAGTGGGGAGTGGGTTTTAAAAGACTGAAGAACATGGCTGCAGGCCTGGCCGTGTCAGGGCCGGGAAGGCTATTCTGGGCACCCTTAGGGGAGAGGGAAATGATGTCCCAGGACTGTTTTTGCAGATCCTGGTCTGTTTAGGGCAAAAGCTGCAAACAGGAGGCCTGCAGGCCTCATTAGGAGAGAGAAGGTGAGTCTGCTTGGCCCCATCCGGTGTTTTGAGACATTTGGAATTAGTTGCCAACACTTAAAACCAAGGAAATTGCACATACCAATCTAGATCTGGAGTTTCTCTAGAAAACTCGCCTGCACTGCCCACTGGTGAGGCTGCATAGAGGCTGCCCCTCTTTGCTTTGCCACAGTCGCCACCACTCCCTTTGGCCTCTCCACCGCATGCTGGGCTGGCTGATAGACTAGGACCCCAGATTCAGGGCAGCATTTCTCTGGTTTCTGCTGCCCTGAAAAAGCCAAAAGGCTTTCACCCAAGTGCCAGCCATTCCTCCCTCTGCCCTCCACGTCTAAGGCAGACTTCCCCCATTATCTTTGGTCAAGAGACACAAATTCAAATTCAACAACAAACATGCATTTTGAATACCCCGAGAAGTCCCAGGTGAACTCCTTTGCCCTCTGCTCTGCTGAGCAACATCCACGTGCCCAAGGCTCACACTTGTTCCCTATCCAGCCTGCCTCAACTCTTCATACATGAAATTTAATTTAAATAAAAGCCAAAGAGCACTAAAGAACTATGTAAATAGAAGCACCTCCTCTCACCTGCCCGGGGTTTCGGTCTTTGGAATCAAGGTTGCACATGAATGTCACACACCTGTGGCCTGTTGGCAGGTTTAATTCCCGCCAAGCTGGGTGCCAGATGGGAGGAGCGGGGGTGGCAGAGCTGGGCTTCTACAGCCCAAACAGGGCTCAAGTCAGCTGCTCATCATGACGAAAGGTCCTGGGGCCGGGCAGCTTCGCTCACCAGACAGCTCCACAGACACACACGCACGCATCACGCGGGACTGGGAAGTGGTACCTGATTCCGGGCCGACTGGGGCAGAATCAGCCCCGCCTTGGTTGGGGTCCAGCCCCTGCGCACCTCAAAGCCCAGGGTGCACCGTCGTCTCCACCTGTCTGGCTGCCTGGTTTTTGTAGGAGGCCCCGGACAACCAGCTCCCGGGCCCTGCCGAGCCCTGCAGGTGGCATGCTGGGTGGAGCGGGCCTTCCGCGGACGTGCAAGCGTCTGGAACCCCTCGCGAGGTGGTGCAGACCGCGTGTGCTTGACCGTCGAGGCTGCTAACTCCACCCTCTCAGTTGTTCCTGGTTCTGAGAGCAGCTGCTCTTGTGCCACCCTCTGGAACCGCTCCCGGCCTAGGGCAGGACCCCACACCCTTGGCTGGCATCTCCTCCGGCAGGTGGGGGTCACAGCAGCGCTGGCTCGGTGGTGGCACCACGGAGAGCCAGGTGAGTGACAGGCACGGAGAGGCCTCTGTCGACCCAACAAGGTGATTCTAATTAGCAAGGATCCACTTCACAGCCACACGGTTTCTTTCCCCACAGTCAAGAGGCCAGGCTGATGGTCAAGTGGGCGGTTAGACGCTCAGCCCCTGAGTGGCTGAGACATTTGGGGATTTCATTTATTTACTTTTGTTTGCCTGTGGGTGTTTTTTTAAGTCACTGAGCTGCAATCCAGCTTCAAAAAAATAAGCAAAGCCAACCACAGGGTGCAGAAGAGCAGGCCTGCCCTGGAGTGCTCCCCTCTGTGGGGTGTGGCCAGGTCCGTCCCACGGGCTCAGCGAGGTCCAGCCGCCTTGGGGCCCGGCAGAAGTTGTGCCTGGAGGTTCCACGTGGCCGGGGTGACGCAGCTCGCCTGTCTCCAGCAGGGAAGGGAAGCGGGGTCCCCCGTCCCACGTCCCAAGCCAGGCAGGCACCAGCGCCACATGCAAGACTGTGTGGTTGTTTTTTAACTGTCTTATTTATTTAAATAGGAAAGAACATTTCATTTCCTCCTAGTCTGAAAGGAAGTCCCCTGGGGAATTATAAGAAAACGGTCAGCTTGGGGTCAGAGGGCAGCAGGATGGCTCTGTCTTGGAACATCTCAGAGTCTGGCTGATCCCGGGGGAGTTATGTGCTGGCTTCAGAAAAGCCATGACCCCTGGGGCGGGGAAGGTGGGAGCCTGGAGAATGGTCCTGGCCCCCCAGACTCTGTCTGGGGGTTTCAGCCACCCTGTGTGCCCCTCCGAACAGGGCAACATCAGCCCAGGCAGAAAACAAACAGGCCCCCTAGAAAATCAGTTCTGAGCCCTCCTGGGGCCCGGCCTCTTCAGGGGAGACGGGAAGAGCCGCCCTCAGCAGGACTCCTGGTCAGAGCTCACTGCGCATCGCCTTGGCCACGATCACCAGCTTAGACAGCTCAGCCTTGAAGGCCCCAGGCCTGTGGGACACTGTAAAAGAAGAAACGCTTGGTCGGCCTGACTCGGCAATCCTTCCGGGATGGGTGGGCCCCCTGTGGGAGCAGGTCAGGGCAGGAGAGAGGTGGAGAGGTTGTGGGCCTGACCTGAGGGCAGGGGGAGGCCACAGGAAAGGCTGAGCTGGGAAAAGCCATGGTCCTTTGTGCCAGGCTGAGGACCGATGCCGGCTGGAGGTTTGCACTGGCAAACCTGTCTGCGGCTCTTTGGGCAGCGTCAGGGAACCTGGCCGCCCAAGCCCCAGCCTGCCCCCGATTCCCTGTCTGCCCCGCTGTCTGTGTGCCTGGGGCTCAGGGTCTGCCAGTAACCCAGCCCCTCTGTCCTTGATCACGCTAAACAGGCCCTGCGCCAGGAGGACCTGGGGGCCAGACCCAGGCGCCACCCCCTCAACTTTGGTGCCTGGTGACGTTCATGGCCACAGGGTTCCTCACTGCATCTCTCCCCCATACCTCAAGACCTTTGGGGCTCCCAGACTCAGCTCAACCCTGTGTCCATGGCTGAAGATGAATGTGGGTCAGAGGACACTGGGGTCTTGGGGCCTCAGGAGGTAACCCCCACCTCCCCCAACCCGCACGCACGAGGTCCTGACGGCGGTGCTGTGCTGACATCCTCCACTGGAGGCATCAAGGCCGTTCCTGGTCACAGAGCCCAGGACAGACTGAGGACGGGCTTTCACACTCCCCGTTCCCTACCAGGCATTGGCAAAGCGTGTCTGCCACCCATGAGCTAAGGGTGGTTTTGCATTATTACACAGCTTTAGCAAGAACCAAAGGAAAACTGGTGTCCTGTGATATGAGAAAGTGACATGACATTCACATATCTGTGTTCACCAAACAAAGTTCTATTAGAACACAACCACACCAACTGATTCACTGACCGGCGGTTCACTGTGGGGGCAGGGAGAGCTGCTTCAGAGGGGGCTGTCTGCCCCCAAAGCCGAAAACATTCACTATTTGGCCCTTTACAGAGGCCGTTGAGGGAGGCAGCCTTTCCTCACCCCTGATCGCCCTCCCTCGGGGGTCCTGTCCCCCTCACCCTGTCCCTGCTTGAAAACCTGGGTTCCACCTCCATCATCCCTCTCCGCACCTGCTGTTTTGGTCACTTCAAATTCCTCATTCTTCAGGGGAACATCACTCTCTCTTTCAAAAGCAGCTTTCGACTGAAAGGGAACAAGTGGAAACTTTTCTGAACAGGAGGGAATATGACACGGTTTGCCTCCCAGAACTGCAGAGACCAAAGCTGTGTGCTTCTGCCGAAGAGCCGCGCAATGCTTTTTGCAGCACACAAGTGAATCCAGGAGAAGCAGTGGCTTAATCCACTTAAGAGACTGTCACCTGGCTTAAAAGTTCATGCCTTCCTTGCAAATCCTCGGAGGAAAGAATCTAATTCAGTTTTTTTCTTTAGTTAATTTATGGAACTGGTACTAGTTAGGCAGTCTCCTGAATGCAATTTTTAAAAAATCAGAATTGTGTCTTTCTCAAATCAGTTAAAATAATAAGAGTTTGAAAGAAGGGACTTCAGCAAGCAATCAGTTCAACAGTGTGACTGACAGTCGGTCTGACCTGTCAGCCTGGAGCAGACGGCAGGGCCCCAGTTATGCAGTCAGACCCCTGCTGGGAGTCGCTGGGCGGGAACTCAGCAGATGTGACATCCTGAGCTGACTTTAAGTAAAAGAGATTATCCTCAGGGACCTGGGTGGGCCTGATTCATTTGGGGGAAGGGCCTTCAGGGCAGAGCCGAGGCTTCCCAGGACAAAATCCTGCCCAGGAAGGCAGCGCTAAGGGTGCCTGGAGCACCCGGCCCGTCCTGCAGACTCAGGCCTGCCTGGCTGGGGGTCCCCGTGGTGGAAGCCAGTTCCTGACAGGCAGTCTCTTAACGCCTGTCTCCCACCACTGGTTCTACTTCTTGGGTGGTAAAGTGGTTTTCAAACTGTGTCTGACTCATGCAGAAGCAGAGTGGCCAGGCTCTAGGGGGCCGGGGGTCGCGGAGCAGCGGGAAGTGCTGCTCGGGCCGCGGATCACTGGGGCCAAGGGTCGCAGGGCCCTCCCGACACCAGTGAGCCGTGCCGCCTGACCCCCCCGGGCGCACCTCCGCCCTCATTGTCCCTGCCCCTGTTCCAGTGCCAAAACCCCTTGCCCCCGGCTTCCTGTTGGCTTTGCCAGCATGAGGCACCGGTGGGAGACTGGCGGGCTATACAGGGGAGAGGCCAGGGTGTCCACTTCCTGCTGCGCCCGCCAGGTCTCCAGGCCTCAATGTCCGTCTCCCCCCTGCCATCCCCAATGCACAGTGGGACGGCTGGGTGGCCACCCCTACGTGCGGGCGACACTCACATAGGCCATACCGTACTCGATCTCGGCACCCCGCACCTCCGCCTTGAACTGTGTGAAGTACAGGTAGGACTTGCCCTGTGGCCTGCGGAGAGAGGTCAGGCCAAGGGGTCAGCCCAGGGCTGTGTGTGCCCCCTCCTCCGGGCCTCCGCTTCCAGGCGTCTCTGGGAAGGTCGGAGGGCCCCCTTAACATCATCTGCTCTCTCCGCTTTGCTGGAGCGCTCTTCCCGCTCATCTACGCACAAGCCCCTTTCCCCTGCTGGGTGCACGCTGTGCCAGGACTGGACCCCACATTCACTCACTGAATGCTTCTCATCCAGTGGACAACATTCCCAGTGTTGCAACGAGGGTGAGAAGCACAGGGGTTAACTAGGAAGGGGGTGTGTCTGGGGCTGAGCGTGTCCTTAGGGGCTGCACGGGGGTGGGTCAGCTAAGAGGCTGCGGGCTGGGGACCCTGCTCTGGGCCTGGCTGCCCGGGCCTGCGGCCACCTAGAGAGCTGACACTGGAGAGCCCCCACGAGACAGGGACATTCGGGCAGAGGGATGGAGACCCGACTGCCGACCCGTAATTAGGTGCCCCACCCCAGCTCCTTGCCTCTCAAAGGGGCTGGCGGTGGCCTGATGAGGCCGCGGGGCGCCCAGGCCTGCAGTGGTAGGGAATCCCCCCCAACACCAGGCACTGAAACCCCTGCTGCGTGTAAAGCACCGAGCGGGAGACCGGGCTGTGCGCTGACGCCGCAAGTACGTCCTTTAATTAAAAGGCACCATCATGGCTCTGACTGTGTCCTGTTCCCTGATCTGGCCCCTAGGCTGACCCTGGGCCCTGAGGGTGAGAGCACGGCTGGGACTTCTGTTTGTCAGGCATTGGGTAAACACTGCAGAAATCAGTCCTGCTCGGAGTGACGCACTCCAGGCCGTGGAGCTGGGGGGTGGAGTGGGGGACAGATGAAGCTCTGTCACCCTCCT